CCCCCCCCCCCCCCCTGGTGGAATTAGGGTTGCCACCTTTTCTTCAAGCGAAACCCGAACATTCTAGCAACACGTGGACATTTTTGTGGTAGAATGAGTCGTGGCTTATTTATATGTAAATGGCACCACCCACTAATATGTAAATATCACACTTGAGACTAGTTTCAGTGGGGGGCCAGTAGCCCCTATCTTAATTTTAGTTGCCCCTGTCTGCCTGACATCTTGTGTCCGGGTTTCTGCTGCCATGAAACCCGGACACAGCATTCAAAACCCGGACTGTCCGGGTGAATCCTGGACAGGTGGCAACCATAGGTGGAATATGCGGCAGTACAGGATCCCAGGGCCCCGCACTGCCGACGGGCTTCTCAGCAAGGGGTCGAGTCCTGTGACTAACTCAAGTGTGTGTCACATGTCACATGCCCCCCCCCCTGCAGTGCACACCATCTGGCTGGGATGCTGGCTGTGAGGCTTGGCAGGGGAGTCCGAATGAGGAGCGGGGGGTATGGTACGGGTGTAATTGAACACTGTGTGCTGTTATTTCATTTAATTAGAAATGTGGATTACAATGGGGAACGTTACGCTGTAATGTTGCCTATTATAATCTATTTCTCTGATTAAATGATTAGACAGGGCCGCTGTTCTATCAAAGTTTGTGACTAGGTTGGAATGTGTGACCGGTGACGTGGTCACAAATTTCAATGTAATCCCGCCCAGTTTTTCGGCGATGGAATGTGTGACCGCCAATAGGTCAAGCCTTCCAACGCTGTTCCAGGGCAGAACAGCATCGCAAATCACTGATCTGCCCTGGAACAGCTGATCGGTCCTGAAATGTCACTTCTATCCGACTTTGTCAGTGGGGTGGAATGTGAGATCGCACTCAGAGTCTGAGACCTTAAAGGTAACGTAGTCCCAAACTTTGATAGAACTACGCCATCAGGGGAGTACGGCCGGTACCCAAGTGAGGGGTCTGGGCAGCCTGGGGGGCCTCTTACATGAGTATCAGCTGTACCAGGAGCGGCATGGCAGAGGTGACAGGGGAGGAGGTGGAGGAGGCCGGGCCCCAGCAGCAGCAGGTAAGAGGAGTTGGGAAGAGGTACAGGGAAAGGGACCCCGGCCTATCATAGAGAGTCTCAGATGGCCTGTGCAGGATCTATGGTGTGCTCTGCAGCCATCAGAAATTTGGGGGCCCCTTACACGGTCCCTTCAGTCTTCTATCTGACCTCCGTCCTTCCCTTCAGTCTTCTATCTGACCTCTGTCCTTCCCTTCAGTCTTCTAACTGACCTCCATCCTCATCTTCAGTCTTCTATCTGAGCTCTGTCCTCCCCTTCAGTCGTCTATCTGACCTCCGTCCTCCCCTTCAGTCTTGTATGTGACCTCCAGCCTTCCCTTCAGTCTTCTATCTGACCTCCGTCCTTCCCTTCAGTCTTCTATCTGACCTCCGGCCTTCCCTTCAGTCTTCTATCTGACCTCCATCCTTCCCTTCAGTCTTCTATCTGACCTCCGGCCTTCCCTTCAGTCTTCTATCTGACCTCCATCCTTCCCTTCAGTCTTCTATCTGACCTCCGGCCTTCCCTTCAGTCTTCTATCTGACCTCCATCCTTCCCTTCAGTCTTCTATCTGACCTCCGGCCTTCCCTTCAGTCTTCTATCTGACCTCCATCCTTCCCTTCAGTCTTCTATCTGACCTCCGGCCTTCCCTTCAGTCTTCTATCTGACCTCCATCCTTCCCTTCAGTCTTCTATCTGACCTCCGGCCTTCCCTTCAGTCTTCTATCTGACCTCCATCCTTCCCTTCAGTCTTCTATCTGACCTCCGGCCTTCCCTTCAGTCTTGCACAGTGGTACCGTCTCCTCCCCTCTTCCTCTGATGTCACTGCACACTGTGCATAAGAAGCTGCGGCAAGTCAGATAGAACCCACCTTATTACCTGGCTGGAGGACGTCCGGCATAATCTAACCGAGTCCTCTCCAGCCTGACTGTCCCTGGCCTGCTGATTGGATATGCCCAGCCTCTACCACCAGCCATTATCTGCCTGCATTGCATTGAGAAGCACAGAGCTACAGTAATGACATCATCTGGTCTAATATAAGGTATTTAATGGAAATGGAAAGGTGTTGTTTAAAAATAAGCTTGTTACTGATGAAATAAGAACCAGGGAAGGCAAAATAGAAGCAGATGAAATGTCAGCGTTAATGATTGTCCGGGGTGTGACAGTGAGGACATGAGCTCTGAGCGCGTATCCGCGTCGGGAATTGACACGTTCTCATAGGATAAGGTGATGGTGGCCGAGGATCTCTATTGATTGACGGTTATCATTGTCCCGGAGCCGATAGCGCTGGGGCGGACGGTCCATTCACCAGCGTACAGTGCCGTCGATGTGAATAGGTCCAATGTGAATATGAAATTCAATATGGCCGTGAGGTTTCCGTTGCTGAAGATTCACCTGGAAGAAGAAAAGTTCATTCATTAGTCTCGTCTACCATTTCCCCCGAATGTTACTGTTATACCTTCAGAGCTCAGAGCAATGTGAGCCGAATAAAATAATGTGGATATGATACGACTCCGTGTGTTTTACAGGAAACTTTGTGCCGGAAGACGCTTCACTTAATTCTTTGTGAATGTTACACTCCTAGTAAAGCGGCACCGCCAGGCCCAGATTCCCCACAAGGCCACCGAGGCCCGGCCTCGGGGCGGCAGGGCCCAGGGAGGCGGCACCCGTGTGGAATCCCCCGACGCCGGCAACATACAGTTCCGGGCGCTGGGCGGTAAGTGTGGGGAAGCCGTGTACGTTTACGAGTGATCTCGGCGATGTCGCCGAAATCACTTGTAATAAGTTTGCAGCCCGTCCTCCCCGTCCCCCCCACCCCTGCACCTACCTCTCTTCTCGCTTGCATCGTCCGCCCTCCCCCAGCCGCCGAGTCTCTGCTCCGAGTAGCTG